TAAGGAAATATTGAAGGCCCTTTCTCCAAAGACCACCATAAAGCAGGTGGTCTTTGGAGAAGGGGCCTTCAGTATCCTTTTTTGTTTTTGAGACACAGTCTCACTCTGTAACCCAAGCTGGAGTGCAGTGGCACAATCTCGGCCCACTGCAACATCCGCCTTCCGGGCTCAAGCGATCCTCCTGCCTCAGCCTCCCGAGTAGCTGGAACTACAGGTGTGCACCACCATGCCTGGCTAAATTTTTTTTTTTATTTTAGTAGAGACGGAGGTTCCACCATGTTGCCCAGGGTGGTCTTGAACTCCTGAGCTCGGGTGATCTGCCTGCCTCAACCTCCCGAAGTGCTGGGATTACAGGCATGAGCCACCACACCCGGCCAGTATCTTGTCCTGGGATGAGGAATGGTTACATAATTTGCAAGACCTGCTGCAAAATGAAAAGGCAGGACCCCTTGCTCAAAAGCAGAAAGAAGGCGGGAAGGTCATTTGAAGCCAGGAGTTCAAGACCAGCCTGGACAACATAAGGGAGAACCTGTCTCTACAAAAAATAAAAAACTTTAGCGGGGCATAGTGGTGTGTATCTGTAGTTCCAGCTACTCAGGAGGCTGAGGCAAGGCAGGGATAATTTGAGCCCAGGAATTTCAGGCTGCAGTGAGCTATGATCAATTCATTGCACTCCAATCTGGGTGACAGAATGAGACATTGTCTTAAAAAAAAAAAAAAAAAGACAAGAACAAAGCTTTTTTTTTGTTTTTGTTTTCTACAATTTCTCAACCTGTCATGGTATTCTTTTATTTGATATTTAATGTTGCACTCCCTTGGCCATGGGGACACACTTTCAAAACATAAATTCATGCTTGAACCCGGGAGGCAGAGGTTGCAGTGAGCCGCGATCATGCCACTGCACTCCAGCCTGGGTGACACAGCAAGACTCTGTCCCAGGGAAACAAAAATTATTAAGAATTTCAAGGCTGGCACAGTGGCTCATGCCTGTAATCTCAGTACTTTGGGAAGCCAAGGTAGGCAGATTGCTTGAGTCTAGGAGTTCTGGAGCTGCCTGGGCAATATGGCAAAAACTTATCTCTACAAAAAGTAAAAAAATTAGCCGGGTGTGGTGG